CCCCTCGCTGCATGAAGTGAGTAACGAATTAAAGAATACACAAAACTTGAATTCGTACAGAAGAGGTTATAGACTGATTAGCCCGATTTACTAAGTGACCTGCCTGACCTGTTTCTAGGACCTCTTCTGTACGAATTGAATTGTTCTGTATTCACTCATTCGTTACTCACTTTATGCAGCGAGAGGACGCAGCTGATGAGCACTCGCAAAATTTATGGCTCCAATAAGTTCTGCTGTACACGCAATCTGCAAAAGGCAGGATTCAAAAACGAACAATTGGCAGACGCCAAGTTTTTACACTACAACCGAGCAGATGCCACTGTAAGGGGATTTAGGGCTCTATGTGTCCGCTTGATTGACGGAATTTTGTATGTAGTGACTCTCATGACCGGAATAATCATCATAATTACGCCTGTTGATTTTGTCGATTTTATCATGACCGGGAGCAATTACTTTAATGACGCCAAAGAATTCGGCCAGTGCAGATCTACAATGGCTGCATCGCTATTTCGCGGCAAATTGTAAACAAATACCTCGACTTCTGAGGTCGTGAAGCTTTCCTAAAAATCACACGAAATTATTTTGCACAAAGGAGAACAACCGATGCGCGAAGTGTGGGCAACAAAAAACAAAAACACATAAAAAGAGGTAATTTTCTACAAAACTGAAATCGAAGCAGCAAATGTGACTTATTAGGCAAGGTTGCACAATTAGTATTCGAGCAAACTGAATACGCATAAAGGTTCTCATTTGTCAACAGCGAACACCCCACATCAAGCAGTACATTCTTGAGACTACAGTGGATCATTCTACTTGCAATAATCAAGTCCACGTCTAAGTCTACTCGTACATATTCGAAAGAGATATTTCCTTCGTGTAAATACTTGTCCACAACATTTCCATTGCGATGTTCTTTATGTAACCGTGTTTCCTTCGATTGTTGCTGTTAAAAATAGGAAGTTTAAAGGCGTTCGCCTATCATTTCCTTAATTAAACTGAACTGATTTAGGAGTGTAAAGCACAGATGGGGGCGCGGACAGAAAGAAGTTAGAAGACGCACCAGACATTGAAGAGCGGTCGACCCATTGACTGCACAGCCCATGGCGGCACGATGCTGGGAAAGGGGGCCTGTCTCAGTTGGGAGTTAGCGAGTGAAGAACAACAGGTCCAAAACTGAGCGGAGAAAGAAAAGAAAGTTTGCTTGAAAAACTTACAACGTATTTCTTAGAAGTGAGATCCATGGTATACACCGTGATCTCGATATGTCGCAGACAAGACTTCCGGATCTCTATATTTAAACCAGACACCATTAATTCGGAAAAACGTAACAATTAAAATTGGAATAAAAACAAAACTATTACCGTCCGAGACGCATTCTCGGTCGACAGAACAAGAAGCAATTCAGTCTGCTCTCCCAACTCTACATACTCTTAAAATTCATAGAAAAAATTACAGCCCATCAGCATGGAGAGGAACGGCAGTATTTTTCACTGTCCCTGACTGTAGCTAATCCAAAAGAATTATCGGCAAGAGGACATCGACAGAGGCGCGTTATGGGTCCCTACAGTGGAGAGAATCCTGGAAATGAAGGCTGAACGCGGGTTCAAGTTAAGGCCAACATGATGTCGTATTCAAACTTAGTTGAGACCAGTGACAGAAGGTGTTCCAGACAGCTCACCTGAATGAGGTCCGGTCGGCCGGTTGAAGTTGCTAAAGCCAGGTTGTGTGCGCACATATTCGACACATTAGCGATATCAAACCTAAAAATTAAATTAACATGTTACTGAAGGGAACGTAAGTAGGGTGAATAAAAGCAATAAACAGGTGGCCCACAAGCGAGCGGCAAAACGAAGACTGCTAAGACGGAAAACACGCTACAATTTTTTTAGAAACAGAGGTAGGTTTTAAGGGTTTGGCATGCACAAGACCACTCCTCGGTGGGGTTTGTCAAATAGTGAAGTGCTCCTACACGTCAAGACGTCCGGGCAGTCCGCGTAGGAAGGACTGAGACACGCAGATACGCAGCAATCGAATGTACACAAACTAGCAAATGTTTGGTTGTTGAGGAGGGTTCCTTGACCCAAAGTGAGAAATTACCTTAGTATTTTGTCAAGCAACCTAGGTGTTCACTGACAGGGCGTCGGTCTAATATACTTAGATTTGTACTCACAGACATGATTTGAATCAGTGTGACGCACGGAGTGCACGCAGTCCCGGCGAATCGTAAGCGAATTAGCGAGATAGACTTTCACTGCGTCCCTAGGCTCCGACGACAAAACACAAAGATGAACTTGTAGGAGTCTGCCGCCTAGCGCAGTTGCGCGTAACTCATCCTGCCTTTGCTCTGCCAGGCCCT